CAACAGTGCAGGAGAGTTCCTTTTTCCCCACAGCCTCTCCTGCATTTGTTGTTGGTGGTTTTCTTGATCCTGGCCATTCTTTCTGGAGTGAGATAGAATCTCAGTGTGGTTTTAATTTGCATTTCTCTAATGACTAACGATGATGAACATTTTTTTCATGTATTTATTTGCCATTTGTATTTCTTCATCTGAGAACTGTGTATTCATCTCAGATGCCCACTTTTGGATTGGTCTTTGAGTTTCGGGGATCTGATTTTTTTTAAATTCTTTATATATTTTAGACAGAAATCCTTTGTCTAAGGGACAGTTCACTAAGATTTTTTCCCAGTTTGTGGGTTTTCTTTTCACTATGCTGGAGATTTCTCTTGACATGCAGAAACCTTTTAATAATATGTGACCCCAGTTATTGATTCTGGGAAGTAGTTCTCCCACAGTTTGATTCCTACTCATGAATTCTCTACCTACCCTTATGTCTTCAAGATGTTTACCTACTTTGTCTTCCAACAGATTTAGTGTTTCTGTTTTAATATTCAGATCTTTGACCCATTTAGATTTTATCTTAGTATATGGTGATAGACATGGCATATGGAGTTTTTGGCATATGGAGAGCCAGTTTTTCCAACACAATTTATTAAAGAGACTGCCGTTTTTCCAGTGAACATGTTTGGCCCCTTTATCAAATTTAAGGTGGTTGAGTGTGTTGGTAGTTGTGGTTGTATATTCTAGTATATTCCATTGATCTTCAGATCTATTTTTATTCCAGTACCATGTTGATTTTATTACAGTAGCTTTGTAGTATAATTTCAAGTCAGGGATTGTGATGCTTCCTGCCTTGCCTTTGCTGCTTAGGATTGCCTTTGCTATTCTAGGTCTCTTCTGGTTCCAGATGAACTTTAGGAGTGATTTCTCTAGGTCTATGAGGTATGGTGATGGTATTTTCATTGGGATTACATTGAATCTGCATAGCCATTTTGGGAGAATGGCCATTTTCACAATATTTATTCTCCCTATCCATGAACAAGGTATGTCTTTCCATTTTCTGAGATTTTCTTCAATTTCTTTTTTCAGGGTATTATAGTTTTCCGTGTATAGGTCTTTTACTTCTTTCATGAGATAAATTCCTAAGTATTTTCTTTTTTTTGGATGCTAAGGTCAAGTGTGTGGCTTCTCTTATTTCTCTCTCTGTAATTTTGTTGTTAGTGTATAGAAATGCTATTGATTTTGTATCTAGCTACATTGATGAATTTATTTATTATATCTAGGAGTCTTTCAATGGAGTTTTGGGGGTCTTCTATGTAGAGTATCATGTATCTGCAAATAATGATAATTTAACTTCCTCTTTTCCTATCTTTACCCCTTTTATTTCTCTCTCTTTTCTAATTGCTCTGGCTCGTATTTCCAGTACTATATTGAATAAGAGTGGTGATAATGGACATTTTTGTCTTGTGCCTGATTTTAAGGTGAAGGCCTTCAGTTTTTGGCCATTTAATATGATGCTGGCTGTTGGTTTGTCATAGATGGCCTTTATCATATTGAGGTAAACACCATCTACTCCAATTTTCTGTAAGAAAACACGGATTATTTTTGAGAGCATATAGAATGTCTACCAGGGTAGAATATTTTCTACATACTGGATGAAAAAACCTGAATATTGTAAATGTAGCTTTATAAGGCACATAACTTTATTGGACACTCTTCTCAACATTTAAAGAAGAAATATCTTGCACAGCTTCAGAAACTACCAGAGAGGGAAGCATCTTTCAATTTATTTTGTGACAATCGTAATTTTTCTACCAAAATTGAACAATGACCTTATAAGAAAAGAAAATTATAAAAAGTTCCTCATGAGTGTAATAGAAAATTTGTTTACCATCTACTAACAAATTACATTCAGCAGTAGTCAAGTCCATGATCAGGAGAAGCCTGGAAGCTTTTAATCAGTATTAAAAGGTTCTCAGCTTCTCATATCCGCTCTGTGGTTGAAGCAAGCCTCAGAAGGACAGTGGCCACCCAGGAAAGTCACTTGAGGAAGAAATAAACCTTGATGGTGTCATTAAGCCAGTGGAAATTGCAGCTATTACTCACCATGGTCAATAACTTTAACATTTTCAGTCTATTACTTTTTATGCTTCTTTTTTTTTTCAAATTGTCCTGTTATGTCAAACTGTGGGACACGTGTTTTCCTGGCTATTCTTACTTTTGACTCTATCCTATGATGTGGCCTGTTTTCTTCCTGTTTGCATGGTGATTTTCTTTTGGAAAACTTCCCCTGTGTGAAGTTACCTAAGCCTTCCCCAGAGGAATCCGTGAATCCTAAACTATTTGGGTGCTACACATTTGAACATACACCTAACCCTGTCGCATTTTGGGGGTCTTAAATATATGATTAGCCTTTATCCCTCTCCAGAGGCCAAGCAGAAAACATGCTTCCTCCCGCTTGCAAGGGTAACCGCTGTGTCTTCCTGATCTTTTAGACAGAGAATGAAAACTTCTCAAGCTCTAGACTTGAGTGAATATCCCATCTTTTGTAGGTCAAGGTCAATTGCCTCGCTGGAGTATGCTAAAACTTTAGAGTTTCAGCCTTGACGGTCTGCCTCTCCTGTGACTAGGGTAGCAACATCACCCTCTGAGCGAGGATTTGGTGTTTGTTCTCGGCCTTGTCTCTAAAGGCTTAGCGATGCATCAGTGTTCTGTCACATCTTCCTTACCATTTCCTACTGCTGGGAATGGGCAGCAGGGTGCAGCCTGGAGCATAGCGTTGCTCCTAGAAGAATTCACTTCTTCATGTTACACGTGAAACACCAGTCCGGGGCTCAGGGGAACTGAACAGAGCCAGACTCACAGACCTCCTTACTGGCATGGTGGAGACTGAAATGGATCTTCCCACGAGCACATCGGTTAGAAACTGAACCAAGTGGGTGAACTGTGCTTCCCGGTCCTCCAGAGGCCAGCAAAGGACACTGCATGCCTAAGTTTCTGAGCTGTTGTCAGGCCTGCAAGGGTTTTACTTCTAGGCTTCTGATATTACGAGGGCAAGAGCAAGTAAGTAAGACATTCTGGAGTCCAGAATGTGGTGGCAGTGGCCACCCTGAGGAAATGGGTGTTCTGGGGGCCTGTCCCTCTCCCACGCAAGGCAGGGGGACATGGAAGGGCTCAAGCAGGCTGCACTCGGGGGCCCAGGGGAGGCGCTGCTCCAGCCAGTCTTCTGTGCTTCCTCTGTGGATGCTGGGTTTCTTGTAGCACATTCCTCTTTCCCCAGGGCCTATTTAGTGATGTCACACTGGGCAGATGGACGACCCAACATCCAGACGCCAACCCCTTCAGCTCACCACGTCCTCCTTCCCGCTGTCTCCTTCCCCTGTTGGGACACCTGCTCTGCAGCCCTGGTCCCCTGCCCCCGCTTGCATGAACTCTTCTTCCCAAAGCGTCAATGCTCCCAGTCATCAGAACCTGTACCGATTAGCTGTTTATACACTACCAGTGCATTGGCGTGAACTGGCTTCCAGACACTTCATGTGAGGACGCTGCATTTCATCACTCTTTCAAGTAACTGGGCTCAGCACCCCGTTCCTGGTGCTGCTGGGGCACCTTCAAGCTCAGGCACCTTTTGTGAGCCTTTCCCTAGTTCTCAGAGTCATCCCCGCCTTCTGCGCCTCCCCCCAGCAACGTGGGCACTGCGGCTGCTGTCTGGTCCCCTGAGTCGACCTAGGGAAGTCCAGGCATTGGGGGATGGTCTGCGGGAGGGGGGAGTCAGCGCCCCCTCCCTGATGCAAGGACCTGGCCTGGGCTTTGGTCTTTCAGGAGGCCCTAGTCAGCCCTTTCCTGTCCCTGGTTCCTCCCTTCCAGAGCCAAGCTTCCTCTGGAACCCCAAGGACTGTCTACCTGGGATGCTCCCTTGCAATGCTGAAGCTGGTGAATGGCTTGAGCCTCTCCTTGCCTTGGGTTCAAAAAGGCCTAGATGAGATTTTTTTGTTTTATTTTTATTTGTTTTAATACACATTCGCAATACCTAAGGATGCTGTTCCTACTGGGGACTTGGGATCTGCACGCAATACATCTGAAGTCTTCCTAACCCCGTCTCCCCGCAAGTCTTGGTAAGATCACCAAGTTCTGGCTGTTCTTCCAGGAGGAAAATGGAGTTAACTTTGCAGTCCTCGGGTTCTCTCTTAAAAGAAAATGGGACTCAATTAGGCTGCCTGCTAGACTCCATCTCCCAAGTTCGCCGCGCCTCTCCTCCCCCACAGCCTAAGCCTGGGGTTTCCAGAGCAGAGCCCAGAACTGAGCCGCGATGCCCTGTAAAGCCTCGCTGCCAGTGCGCGGCGCCTGGCCGCCCCCGGGTGGAGCCCGGGGTGCTCCGGAAGGTCGGGCGCAGTCCTCCCAAGTCGGCTTTCTGGCCGCTGTCGCCTGGCGACCGGCACAGGGGCGGGAATCCAGAGGACTGGGTTCAGAATTATCTCGAAACAGCTTCTGCCAGAGCGCACAAGGGAGGCGCCTCGGGGCAAAAGATGCAGGGGCGAGAGCCGGCGCCCGGGCGCCCCCGCGAGTCCCCAAGGCGCGGCGCGCAGGGTCCGCGCGGGGGCGCCCGGGGCGCGGGGCGCGTCCGCCCGTGGGCTCGGCCGGGCGTCACGTGGAGGCGCGGGGGCGGCGGCGGGAGCGCGCGCGGCTCTTTAAAGGCGCGAGCCGGGCCGGAGCGGCTGTGCGGCCGCAGGCGCAGGCCCAGGCCCCGGCGCAGCCTCCGGGAGCGGCGGGAGCGGCGGGAGCAGCATGCGCGGCGGGCGGGGAGGCGCCGGGCTGGCGCTGCTCGCCTCGCTCCTGCACGGTAAAGCGCGCTCCAGCCCCGCGCTCCTGCGCTCCTCGCGCGGTCCCGGCGCACCCGCGCGCTCGGTGCCGGGCAGCTGGGGTCCCCCCGCGGCGCTCCGGGCAGGGGTCGCGGGCCGGGGCCAGGCTGCACCCGCCGGCCTGCCCTGAGCAGCCCGCCGGGCTCTCTTCTTCCCCCGAAGTGTCCCTGCAAGGCGAGTTCCAGAGGAAGCTCTACCGGGAGCTGGTCAGGAACTACAACCCCTTGGAGAGGCCCGTGGCCAACGACTCGCTGCCGCTCACCGTCGTCTTCTCCCTCAGCCTCCTGCAGATCATGGACGTGGTGAGTCCGCGCGGCTGCGGGCTCCTGCCGCGGCCCCGGGTCTGCACGCAGTGGCGGGTGGCTCCCCGGACCCCTGGCCGCCCGCCGGGTCCCGGCTGCTCGGGAGGAGGCAGTGCGGGTCGCGATTCCAGCTCCAGCCACCTGTGCCTGGGTACTTGGGTCCCGCCTTCCCCTCAGTTTAGGAACTCTAGGGAAAGTATCTGGAGTCCGGAATCCGCCTCAAGACCGGACAGGAGCAGCACCGGGCACGCTGCAGTTTCCCTGGAGTTAAGGAGACTAAAGCATTCCAGGGCACTTGTGCGTGGCGTCGCCTGTAGTTTCTCCGGGAGAGGCCTGGCCCTGGGCTTCGTGCCTGCTGAGTCTGTCTGGGCAGAGGGCTGGGTGCCCACACTGCCCACTCCCATCCACGTGCTGAGCAGTTCCCCCTTCCTGTGGAGGACAGATACTGGCTGCCCTGCACCCAGACGCGGCCGCCACACCAGAGAGGCACTTTTCCTTCCCCTGGGCAGCTTCCGAAGGCCTGGCCTCCTGCCTCCAACCTTACCGGTGGCAATCTGTGCAGTATCCATGTCAAATTGTCTTTTGCCCCTCTGGAGGACGCTGTACTCTTTGGCATTGGTGTAGCCCTCCTGCAGTGCCAGTCCTTTGTGGAAGCGTTTCATTCATTGCAGGGGGGTCTGATGTATGGTCCGTAAGGGGAGTGGGTTCTGTCTGCTCTCTTAGATTCCGGAGCAGGGATGGAGTGGGGTGAGACAAAGCGACAGACAGTGATGTTCACGAGCAGGGATTAATATGGCAGAGAAGGTGCGATTGACAATTTGTTGCCACCCAGGTAGGAAGTGCTAAGGACCACTTGAGCACTCCAGGTAAAGATGTATAAAATGATCAGTGATATTCATGACCCTGTAAATAGTTATCCTCGCTCCCACGCTGATGAGTGTTATGCTACTTGTCCTGGCTGTTCTCATATTACACCTGTGTTAAATGTGTATCTCCTCCTCCAGCAGGATCCTGTTTTATATATTGAATGCATGTTTGAGGATAGGAAAAGTTGTGAGATAAAATCGCTGCTGTCCTGTGCTTCACTGTGTGAGTCAGTTGCTGTTTGCAGAGTATCGGCTGCAGGACAGGGGGAAGGGCAGAGGGACAGAGGCGGAAGGAAGTTCTGATGTTGATTCCTTGATGGGAGCCAGATTTTAGGAAGTGGAGGGGCTGTGCAGACTGGGGTGGAGACAGCGGGAAGGCTCCAGGGCATTTGTGGAGGATGGCAGTTTATAGAGAAGCTCCTCAGTTTCTTTAAGGAGTTCAGGATTCCTATTTGGGATTTTGATAGCTTCTGTCTTTGCTGGTCTCTGGATGGCTAATCCTTGGTAGGTTTCTTAAGCAATCAGAGGCTTGACTTTCCTGTTAATGGAATGGGCACCGTACTCATTGTGATGAGATAAAAACAACAGAGAGAACTTTAAGAGACTCCAAAGCTAGACTTTGGACCCTACACGTTTTCATGCAATAACCCATAAGGCAGGGTCCAGCCGCTGAGCTCACACATTCCACAGGTGGCTCGTGATGTGGGGAGTCAGGCAGTCAGGGCTGCTCTAGCGGGGTGCCCGCTGCTCCGCAGGCATCCTTGTGGGGGCTGGACAAGGTGATGGTGGAGGGGCCACTCCACCAAGGAGTGTGTGCGAGTGCCTGGAGGAGCCTTCTGCAGCCCTGGTGGCCCCTGGTGGACAGCTGCAGGCTTGTTGTGTTCGGTCCCTTTGCATCTTTAAACGCCTTCCCAACACTGTGAGCTGCTGGTCCTGTGTGCATGACTGTCCCTTTAGGAGGCCTGAACCACTAGTGGTGCAGATGGACCTAATCACTTTTATAGATCCTGTTACTACTGAAATTAAATCAGAGCTGCCAGGCAGCAAGACCTACAAATTCCAGTCCCCGTCTTGAACCCGTTAAGGGCCTCTGAAGGAATCCAATTAGTATGAGGAAAAGTTAAGGTGTAAAAGTAGCTTTAATGAGGTGAAAATTTACAAACCTTGTTACATTAGAAAAATGTAGAAAATAGCACATTGTAAGCACTGCGTGTCCTCATCATTCCAGGGCCAGAAAAGCGCACGTGAAGATGAATTTCAGCAGCCAGGTCATGGTGGGGTGGGGAAAGGATGCAGTCTCACGTGGTCCAGGAGACATTGAATGTCCCAGCCAGTAAACACCGTGTATTTGTGGAGTGGCCTTCAGAAAACTGTAGCACAGCCCTGATTTCTCCTGTGTAAATGGAGAATAGAAGCCCACTTCACAGGGGCTTGAGAGAATTAAAAAAGAAAAAATACCGGACACATCCATGCTTCACAGAAGGGTCCTTCACTTTTAGCTTTGTAGTGGCTCTCTCCTTGGATGTCAAGAAGGCTCCTGAAGGGCGTGGCCTCTGGCCCAGGGTGAGTAGAGCCAGAGGGATGAAGAAGGCCCACCCCGAACTCACAGGTCCCTTAGCTGCCTCTGCTGCCTCTCTTGACTTGGGAACTGCAGAACAGAGTCAGCCGGTCTCCTTAAAGGGGCTGAGCTGTAACTTACAGAGGGTAACTGTCCTGAGATCCCAGTGAGAAGTGTCTCTATCAGCTGTGATGAAATATGTAAACACTTGTGTTTTGCTGCTGGGATGTACTGAGTTTTGAAGCATTACCAGATCTTCCCAGATGAAATCTCAGCATCCTGGATCAGAGACCCCATGGCGCTCCAGCGGGATCTGTGTGACAGAGTCTTGGCTGATACAGATTCCTTTACAGAATCACTTCCAGGGATCATTTGCCCACTCTAACTGAGCTCTTCTAGAGGCCACGGTTACCTCCCAAGCCCCTGCCAAAGGAAAAGCTTATTATCATTGTACCCTCTCTGTCAGGAGAGATTTCTTGACTGGAGTTACATGGAGATGGCATGGGGTGCTGCATATTTTATTTTCAGAAATGATCATTTGTTATACTATCAGTATATCCCACATATATTTATGGGGCTCCAGCTGTGGACTTGCTGGATTCTGAGCATGCTCAGATGAATACTTTCAGGTATCTCCCAGTCTAGATAGGGAGACTAACAAGGAAACCCACAAAGACCACACGTGATGAAATTTGGTAGACATCTGTACTAAGTGCTGCAGATCTGCAGAGGAAAACATTTCCTACTAGAGTGGAAATTGTCTCTAAAAGGAGGCAGTCAGAGTGCTTAAGGTGAGCAGGAATTTGCCAGTCAGAGAGCTAGGAAGAGCTTTCGGATGCTGGGCACAGAGTTGAGGAGTAGAGGGGCGTACGTTCTCCAGATGTGTTCTGGGGGAATTTTGGCTCCTGGTTGATCTTTGCTGCAGGTTTTGTTGTAAAACTTCTTGAAGTTTAGCAGCTTATGATTATTGAGAAGTTTTAAAAGAAAAATACAGTACTGGTCAAACTTCTCATAATTTTACTGACCCTTTTCCTTGATTATGTTCTAGAAACTTCCCTTTTAAAATAGAAGTGATGCCTGTTACTGGTAGGAGATGGTAGCTGTTGGGGTCTTGAACTCCACAGAGCTCACGGGTTGCCTTGGACCCTTGTCTAGTCTCTCCGAGGGGCGAAGAGGCGGCTTGCCAAGGGCTCTGCAAAGCTGCAGCCTGGGTGGCTGTAGCACGCTTTCCTAGATGGAGAAAACTAAAGCGGGTACTGCTGTTAAATCCAAGGAGTATGCATTGTAGATTAGAATGAAAAAAGTGCGTATAGTTTACATTTGAAATTTGAGTCTTTTAAGGAAGTGCTGTATCCACTGGGGCCTCCTCCAGTTATTCAGGGGCCCTTGGGGAACCACTAGAGGGGGAGTGGGAATGTGTGGGGGAATTTCTAACCGAGAGGAGCTGGGTTAGGTGAGTAAAGATGCTTTGAGCACTGAGTGTGCTCAGTTAGAGAAGAGGGAGAATGTAGGTAAGGAACAGGAAGGTCTGGCTTAGTTTCTGTTGTTACAACAGAATATGAGGCTGCATAATTTATAAGGAAAGAGGTTTACTTGCACTGCTGGCTCTGCAGGCTGGTAGGTCCAACAGCATCCAGCTGACAGGACCTCATGCTGCTTTAGCTCTTCTCAGAAAGGGCGAGTGGTATGTGCAGGAGAGCCAAGATGCCTGCTAGCCTCAACTGGTAATGACCTGTTCTTGGAGTAGCTGATCCAGTGCCATGGGAATTAACCCAGGCCCTTGAGCAACCCAGCCTTCCACTCACGAGGATCCATTCACCTCCTGCTAAATCTCTCACCCAACACTGGTGCATCATGGAATTTAAGTTTCAACACGTGAACTTTTGAGGAAGCACTCAAACTACAACAGGGTCAGCCTCGGCTGACCTAGGAGAAGGGCAGAGTCAGTAGATGCTTTGGGTACCCCATCTGTGACATGCAGCGGTGTGTATAAACACCATGGACATAGATCCGTGAAATGAAGCTCTCTCAGTTATTCCCACATGCATCCTCTGCATTACGATTATTAATTGACCTCATGGGCTTGTCACGGGGTAGACATGAGCTAATATATAAGAAATCATCTGGAAATGATGTGCACGGACGTTCTAAAGTGCTGACAGTTTCCGTAATATTCCGGAAGACATTCTGTTCAGCCACTGAGCCAGTCCATTGGGGACATACATCTCAGGCCATTCTCGGGTCGATTTGCATAAAATAAATGCACACAGTTATGAAAACATTTCTGGAAGGCAAGTGTTTAAAATGAATAATGTAAATCAATACGCAATTATGCACAAATATAAAACACATGATTATGCATGAATGATTGTTGGAATTTTATAGATTTTTGGACATCAAATCCAGTCTTTTGACCATAAAACAGTAGAGCTCGTTGGCCAAGCAGTTATAAAGCATCCACAGTGGTGGGGCCCAGTGCCCTGAGGGCTTCTGGTCTAGCTGAGGTCCCTTTGGTGACCTTGCTCAGGTTCATTAGATTTATGGTTCTGTATTTATTTGTTGCTGTGTAAAACACT